ATTATAGGGTCTCTGGTATTTTTACGCCACGCGGGGTTTTACGCCGCAGATGTCAGAAAAAATAGAAGGAATGAAGTTACTTGCTCGCAATTATTCTTTTATGTGCCTTTATGCCATATTAGTATTGTGTTGTAATTTCAGTTCTTTATTGTTAATATTAACGAAACTGTCATGATTTGAATTGATTTCTCACCGTAGTAAGAAGCGCGATCTTGTGTTACGACCTACGTAAAATAATTACTGTAAGGAATGTAAAAAATTCAATGATTATTTCATGATACATAAGTGTAGAGGGATAGTAAATGATGGAATACAGCAAAATACAAGTGCATAACTCTTGTATTTTTTGTTTACCTTAATATCTTGTATATCCCTCCTGTATTTAGGATATACGGCAATTAAGTTAGCATGCGGGATTTAGGCCATAGTACGGATACTTTGTAAAACTCGAAATCTCCTGTGTTTTTTTTCTTTCTCTTTTTGAATCGTATAACAATAATAATCTTTAATGCACCTATCGTTTTTCTATTTTTTTTTTAAATTTTTTAGTTTTATAATTTGTTTATCTTTCTTTCATTTTAATAAACTTCTTACACACATTTTATAACTTGTTATGAGATTTTATTGCCTTATTTATAAACATTATTTGTAACTTTTTATAAGGCTTACATTTTACCCATGAATGTCATATAATCCACCCTTCTTATATATCTTCAGGATATATGGCAAAAATGCAAATGTTTTGAAGTTTTTTTTTTTATTAAATACAAAAAATTAATATTTTATGTTTCTAGTAGACAGTATAATAGACAGTCTAGTAGACAGTATAGTAGACAGTCTAGTAGACAGTATAAAGTTTTTATTAGTATAATTTATTTGCCTTAAGCATAGTAAATAGTACTTGATAAATTAAGTTTCCCTTAGCTGTGCCGTATATATCGGAGTTACCCTATTATATGTTTTTGTAAACAGATTGAAATCAAACTGCAAGTAAATTATTCATTATTATCTAACGCCTTTAACGTTCAGCATCGACTCGTTATCTGTTATTAGTTTAGAGAAATTAACAATTCGTCACTTTTTCCCCCTTTCTTTTACATAATGTATGTACTATGTATATTATAGGAACAACTAGTAATAAAAGTTTTGATCTTTTTAATTCTAACAATAATATTAATTAATAGTAATAAAAAACATAAATACAGAGTATTCTAAAAGTTAAATATGTAGTATAACAGCACTCTCTCCAATTCCTTCGAAATTTTCAAATTTTAAACAAATTTGTCGCTCATTATATAATTATAATTAATAGACTTAAAATATCACAATGTCGGCAAGTAAGGAAATGATAATTGAAATAATAGTTTATGGATATACATTTATGGATATACATTTATTTCCTATCTCGTCCTCTCCCGCCGCTTTACTTTTTTTCAGCCTTATCAGCACTCTCTCTACCTCTTCCCATCCTATCCCCTCTCCTTTCTCTACTTCCCCTTCCGCCCCTGCTCTTCCTCCTCTCCTTCTCCTAATCTTCGCTTGTATTCCGTTCCTTCTAACATCTCCCTTAAGTACTCATCCCACTCCTCCATTGTTATCTCCTTATTAATTTATACTCTTCTTCTCCTTTCCTTCTTTATTACTTCCCAAACCTGCTTCTCTGTTCTCGCCTCTCTTTCCTCTTCCAGCAGATTTCTCTTTTTTTCCATTTTCCTTTCACACATTTCCTTATACTCCTTCTTTCTTCTCTCATAATCTTCTTTATATTTTCTTCCTCTTTTCCAGTTTTTCAATAACTTTTCTACCTCCTTCCTCTTTTTCCTACTGTCCCCATTCCACTATCCTCCCTTTCCTTCTGCCCCTTTTTTTACTCTTCTCATACTTTCTTTCATATTAATTCTTTTTGTCAACTTTTCGATCTCTTTATCTATTGCCCCCCCTTACCTATTTTTCCCAGCCGGAATGCTAGCGTCTTTTCGACGTCTATAGATGTCGATAGATGTCGAATCGACATCTATAAGATGTCAATTCGACGTCTATAGACGTCGGCGTTTCGGCTGGGCTACCTCCTCCTATCTTGCCTCTTTCGACCAGTCCGTCTTTTTCACCCACCTCTTTTCCTCCGCTATTGTCCCTCTCCTCTAACCACCACCCCCTTTATCCACCCGTACTGGTAGTGATTGGTGATCCAAATCTACCTCACATCCCACCTCCAATCTTGTCACTCTTTCCCAAACCTTCCTATCTTCTTTCGCGTAATTGATCACTGTTTCCCCTTTTTTCCCCGTAAATTCACCCCTCCTTCTCATCTCCCTCCTTTGCTCCATTCATAATTCCCCACCCTTCCTCTTCAACCCATCTAATTAGCCCTTCTCCCTGCCTATTTATTATTTTATCTTTCGATTTTCTTTCAACGCCCTCTTCTCCATCTCCAGCGCTCCTTTCTCCCCTGTTCTCGCATTGAAATCGCTCCCACTATCCATCTCTCCTCTCTCCCTTCCTCCTCTTTCACCGATTTTATCTTACACATTATCATAAGTTGCCGCTTACGTAAACTATTGCCAATCTCTATTTCTCCTTCTTCCATCTTACTTTTCTAATCATTAAACCCTCCTCTTTTATCCATTCTTCTTCCCCTTTTAACCTCTTTCTGACTCCCATCATTATCCCACCTATTGCTCTTCTTCTTCTTCCAACTCTTTCTTTCTTTACACCCTGTATCCTCCAGTTGAACTCCTTTGGCACGTTATTCTTCATCTTCTCCCATTCCTCCTGTTTCAGGCACGTCTCCACCAACCCCACGACATCCCACTTTCTTATCCTTTCTCAAACCTTTCCTGTTTTCCCTTCACTCCCGCTACATCCCAAAAGCCTATCTTTGGGTTTTCTTTCTGTTCCTTCTCCTCCTCCTCCCTCCTGCATTCCTTTCTTCCACCTCTCCCTCTTTTTTCTCTCTTTCACTCCTTTTTACTTTCCACACTCTACTTTCTCTGACTCTTTTCCCCCTTCCCCTCAGCCTCACCACACTCTCTTCCTCCCTATTCTCCCTCTCCTTTCTCTTCTCTCCACCCTCCCCTCCCATCGTTTTTCCTCCCTCACTCTCTTTCGATTTCATTTTTCCGTCTCCCTCTCTTCTACTCTTTTCCTTCTCCTCTGTTCCTCTTTCTCCCACCTCCTTTTTCATGCTCCTTTCTCTCATTTCCCCTTCCATCTATCAAGATTTTTTTTTCCTATTCCCAACTCCACCTTTTCCCCTCTATCCAAAACTTTCCGTATTTTACCCAATCTCTTCTTCTATTCCTTCTCTCTTTCTTAACTATCCTCTTCAGGCTCCATTGCATTTTTCTTTGATGTTTTCCTTCAAGGTCATGTCATTCTTTATTCTTTCCATCCTCCCTTTTAACACATTCTTCTTCTGCATTACCTCTCTTTTTCTTACTTTATCTTTTAACCTAACTAAAACCATCTTCTCTTTCCCCCTCTTTCTTCCTATCTCTTTTACCTCCTTTATTCCTCCCTCCTTCCCCATCTCTAGCCATAGCTTTTCTACCGCTTTCTTTTGCCTTCCCTCCTCTACCTACACCCCTTTCACTACTACATTGTTCCTCCTTCTGTCTCTCCCTTCTAACTCTCTCCACCTTTCTAGCTCTCTTACCTTCGCTTCCATTGCTTTATCTCTTTTTCCTATCTCCCACTTTCCTTCCTCTTTCACTTCTCCCTGCCCTTTCTTCCTCCCATCTCTCCATCTCTTAACTAATATATTTAAATTTATATATTAGTTAACTTCTTTATATACACTACCGCTCATTAATTTCATTATACCCTATATTTGTCAATTTCTCTGTAAAGGACATGATGAACATGATACATATGTTTTGTACAGAAATGAATACATTTGCTGTTATAAACACTTGCATATGCATTGCATTTTTATATATTATTTATATAAAAACGCCACGCATGCAAGTGAAATGTTTATAACAGCAAGTGAATTCATTTCTGTGCAAAACACGTATCATGATGTTCATCCATTACAGAGAAATCAACGAATCTGTTGTATATTGAAATTAATGAGAGGTAGTGTATATAAAGAAGTTAACTAATATATAAATTTAAATATATTTGCAATATAATAAATATTTTTATAATATATAATACCTTTCTCTATATTGTTCCTTCTCTTTTCCTTCTTTCTTCGTTTTCTATCTCTATATCTTTCTCTCGTCTTAAATTACTTTTTACTTTTGTATAAACAGCTTAAGGTATCGATACAATAAATAATACTATAAAAGCTACATTTGGATGGAACGGTAATAATTTACACAACCTATTATACCTCTATAATTATGTTAAAATCATAATAGCGTAATAAAAACGATTCATAGGAATAAATGTGATAGTATTTATGAAATAAAATTAAGTATGAAATATACATTTAAGAAATATTACTTTAATGATCATATTATCTTACGCGTTATTAACATTCCATACAGGCAAAGCAAATAGATACTATGGTATACAGAATAACTTTAAACAATTGTTTCATTTTCTAACATTTTTCAGATATATTGTAATATAATCGTATAATCGTCATATTTTTTTACACAGGAATACTAACGCAAAATTATTCGGACATTGTCACTACTGAAATTAAAAAATCAGATGCAGGGTTAGGTAATGTATATATTTTTAATTCACATATCTCTTATTTACTACCGACCATCATTTCATCATGATACATTTGCAACGAAATAAATACGCCAATACTTAAAACGTATATCTGTCATTTAAACACAAGTTTTTATATTCTGGAAACGATACAAGTGTCTTAAAATATTTTTTACTTGTTTTTAACCAGCATGAAATATCGATACTATTCGAATAGTATAAAAGCTACATTTGGATGGAACGATAACAATTTAGACACCCTACCTCTATAATTATGTTAAAATCGTCGGATATACTGTAATATAATCGTCATATTTTTTTTCACAGAAATACTAACGCAAATTATTCGGACATTGTCACTAAAAAATTAGATGAAGATAATTTGTAATCATACAAAGATACTGTTTAGTTAATGTACACATCTTTTTAATTCACATATCTCTCATTTACTACCGATCATCATTTCATAATGATGCATTTGCAACGAAATAGATACGTCAGCAACATTCGAAACCATCGACTGGAAAAAGCATTCTTCTTGGTCTATTCGTTGTGACGGATAAAATCGTATAATTTCAGCACTCAGCAGTGGATTCACTTCAATTGATGCGATTTTAAGACAGAGCTTAATTCAAAGAATCCTCGTTGTTACTAAATATGCTTACAAAGCCTGTGAATAGCGCTAATTTCCCTGCCATGCGCATATCTTTCTTTTTCGTGGCTGTATCCTGATTGGGCATCATTTTGTCCGCAATATGCTTATAGACTTTTCCATTCAGCATTAACGTAAAAAAGCCGTCGTACCATCTGAAATCGTTATATATAATTGTCTCGTTATAATCAATTTTATAATAAGTGTTTCCTCTCCGATAGCATAAACAATATTAATTTTAGGAAATCTAAATTATTTTATCTTTTTCTGAAAGTAGAATAAAAAAAATTGCGCTACAAAACACTTTCTCGTTCTTTTCAACTTTTACAATTTACAAGACAGCAAATACGATATACGTACATACATGTGCAATTTTGGATACACCTTCCTTCTTAAAGATCTCTTCGGTATCAGCTTCCTGTGGTCAATATATAGCGGCAAAATTGTATACCACGTAGTTGAATATAAAATGTTCCTGCGTGAGAAAACGAGAGAAAAGGAGGACATTTATAATAGGTAATGACACACGATACGAACCACGCAATAGTGTAAATTCGGGATTGGGAGAAGAAAGAAGGGGTAAAGGAGAAGAGATTCTTACAATTAGAGGCACTCTGTAGCAACTCGTATTATCTAGCACAAGATGAGGACCTCTTGTGCTAGACAATTATGCCTCAACAGTTTCTGACAATGAGAATTATTATATTTTGAAGACGCGAGATTGTACATTCAAAGCATCTAAGTTAACGAAAGTAAAGTACAATATAAACATACTTTAGAGAAATCTTTATTACGCGATAGTGCCTATCACAACGTGCACATAGATACAGATCACTTTCTCGTTCTCCTAACTTTTACAACTTTTACAAGACAGCATATATACGTACGTGTGCGATTTTGGATACATGCACCTTCCTTCTTAAAGAAAATCGGCATCAGCTCCCTGCCGTCAATATATATTTCATTATCACTAAGTACCTATGACGCGGCGATGGTCACGACTGTCACTATCTATCTATTTCTAGGTTATCGCTGTATTCCAGCATAATTCGGTCTTTCTTAACAGCTTCATACGTCTGTGATTGAGAAAGAAATCTGATAAGTTCCAGCTCAATATAATGCAACATATACATATACGAATATGTATATACATTTTAGATAAAAACAGTCAGTAAACTTTTATAAAACAATACTCTTTGAAATAATACAAGCGATAATATAATTTTTATAATTACCTCTCTATATTATATCTTAAATGTGCATGAATTTTCTTCTAACGATATTTGTAATGTCATCAACTTTTCACGCTTGTTGAATATATTTGCACCATGAGCACCAATAGCTAATCCCATCATATCTTCTCGAATATTTTAAATTCATCGATATATCTAAAATAAGACAAATTTTACATAATGCAAATGTAAAAACAGTAATTATTACTTACGTCTGCTTATATATAATATACGATATATATGTATATAAAATATACGATTACGAAGATAAATCTGTATCAAACATCTATAGTTACTGTAACGTATACCAGATTAGATTTGTACGAGCAAGCAGATATTAATATGTAAAATATAATTTATATATATTTATATAAATAATCCCACTAACCTCGCGCAACCGATGCCAGCTGTCACATCACACGACACATACACATATGTATATACATACATACACGCACGCGAAACTCGCAGCGCGATCTCGATCGCCGCATCGTATCGACCGCACGCACGCATGCGGCCAATCACGCACGCGGAAAAGCGGCAACAATACTACTCGACCACGGGCCAACTTCTCGCGTCTACATGGATTTTTTTATTATAGA